AAAAAAAAAAAAAAAGCTTTCTTTCTTTAAATAATTACAAAGCAAAGAAGCTCTAAACTCATCTATAACCTATATGGCCCTTTCAAACTGTTCTGCCTTTTCAGGCTGAACCAGTATATACCTTCCATGTATTGATCTATGATTTTACCTGTCTCCATGAATGTATAAACCCAAACTGTGACCCCCACCACCACAGGTACACTTTCTCAGGAACTTTTGAGATTGTGAAGCTCTAGGTCACTGTCACTTACATTCAGCTCAGAATAAACCTATTTAAATTATTTTATACAGTTTCATTTCCATTAACATTGTCCAAAGTGTCCCCAAGAGTCAGGTAAGACTTCAAGGAGGAAACAGATTTGAAAGTATTTCCCCTGCAGGAAGCAAGGGCTTTAAGCTGGACTGACTCCTACATATCAGGCACTGAGTCCCCAGTAAATGAAAAATACAGTCCAGTAACAACTTCTTCCAGGTAAGCATAGAGTCACTGAGCCATCTCCGGAGATAAGCCTTCTTTGGAACATCACAGGTTTCAAAGATGATGATTCCAGGGGCCCCAGTATTATTCATTCATAAAAAGGAATGCCTTTTTAAAAAGGTAATGCATTTCCACACAATGGAATGGCATTTGACCAAAGTAAGAAATGAAGTATGATGAGGGCTACAGCATGGATGGACCTTGAGATTATTATGCTAAAGGCAAGGAGCCAGACACAAATGCCACACATTGTTCATTCCATGTACATAAAATGTCCAAAATAGACAGATCCATAAGGGACAGACACAGACTGGTGTTTGCCAATGACTATAGGGAGAGAGAAGGGGAAGTGAATGTTAATGGGTGCTGCTTTGGTGTGATAAGAATGTTCTGGAATTAGACAGCAGTGATGGTTGCACAACATTGTGAATATACTAGATACCACTGAATTATATACTATAAAATGAGAGGTTTGTGGTATGCGACATATCTCAACTGTATCTCAAAAACAATAATGATGTTTTTAAAGGCCCAGGAGCATTGCTGAGTGACCAGGCCCTCATCTCTGACTGTGCCTGCTCTGCCACCCTACTCCCACTCTCTTTGGTCCCTTACCCTCCCCACCTAGGCACTCTCCCATGCAACCTTTGCATTCCTGTTTGGGACACTGTTCCCCCTGCCCCACACCCTTCCACTCCTTCTGAGCTAAGCTCAGTGAAGCTCTACATCTGCTCTCCCCAGCCCAGGTACCACAGCTTGGATTCTGCTTTCAGAAATCAGGTGGCAAATCCTGCTGGTGTCAGGGGGGCTAAAATTCTATCACATACAAGGAGCTGGTGTCCAGCACTGTGGTATCAAGGGATGGCCATCAGGTAAGCAGGCATCCTTGTTCAGGCACTCACCTGTGGGAAGAAGCCACAGCAGGTCACGGTGTGGAAGCCGAATTTGCTCACATACTGGGGCTCAGCATCCTCAGCCCCCTGGCCTGTTGACAGAGATCCGTGGCCTGAAAGAGCTGCTTGTCTCTCTCTTAAACATCAGACCACAGCACAGCACCAGTACAGGCCTGGGCTGCATGTACTGCAAAATGAGTGGTCTGAGGATTTACTATATATGGTAATGGTTAGTAAGCATACGGGTTTTTAAACATGCTGCCTCAAGCACAATGGACAGCATAGCTGGGTATAAAAGGGGTCCTGAGCAAATTCTACTAGTTTATCAGCTCCATCAAAACTCTTATTTAATAATCTCATTTTCATAATGCAGTGTAAAAGGAGACAGTCTGCAACTCAACCTGGTATTGAAATGCCACCAAGAAGCACCAGGAGCACCACTGTAGGGAGGCAATGCAGCTGGGTCAAGGGTACACAAAAGCCACCTTACCCACTGTGTTCTCTTTCTCCTTCAACTTTTCCCTGAGCCTCTGGTTATAAAGGTGCAAATCTGCCATCTGGTCTCCAAGTTTTGATGCCTGACTGAGGAGAGGAGAAATGCAGCTGATTAAATAACAAATAAATAATGACATCACCCAGTATATTCTATTTTGAGAAATGTTTTAAAGACCTTAAAATCTACTCCCTGGGCTCAGTGCCTGTGGCTCAAGTGGCTAAGGCACCAACCACATACACCTGAGCTGGGGGGTTC